TATGACTTTTCTCATATTAACTTCAGAAAATAACAGCAGAAGCGTAATGTGAGTGATTATGCAAGCGTGATATGAAGCAACTGGTGAAGAGGCACATTTCTTAAGAGTGTTCGGTATTTCGCGTTTCTCCATTATATTTTCGTTTCTGTGTTATTTTTTACGACGTTGCAGTTTGAAGCAACGGCAAATGTTAGAGGATCGACGATGACGAGTGATGCAGCTGCGTCGCGGGAAATACGACACTGCTCGATTTTGGCGAGGATTTCGACCGAACGGTATCTTGAGTTTTTGCTGAGGTTGCTCCTGTTTCGGGACGAAAACTTGAGAATCGAGAAAAATCGGCAGGAGGCGCTAGCAGGCAGAATCGGGATGAAGTCAGGAAATGCGTCAGAATTCAAGTAGCTTAGAGAACAATATGCAGCGTCGGAACGGGGATATAAATCTGCGTATTTTGTCATGAGATAAAGACTCCGTATTTTTAGACTCTCTACCTCACGACTTTTGCGTACGTTGAACCAAATCCCTGAAAAATTTAAACTGGAGCAACATACCGCAGCAGTGCTACTCAGTGGAGGTTCACCACGATCAGTAGCCGTCACGTTGAATCGGTAGATGTAGAAACGTTCACGATTTTGATCCGCATCCAGACGCTTCTGAGCAGAAATTTCACCACGGTCATTGATCTTGAAATGATCGTCGCTTAAGCTATAGACTATCCGAGCGTTTTCACCACTGTCTTTGTCCTCAGCGTGCACTGAAACTTGACCGTCATAACGAAAGTATTGTGACTTTATTGAGCAACGCTGCAAATTTCGTTTATTAGCCACTGGTACTCACGAGAAAGTAAACGACTACTCAGACGGCTTCTGAAGAGGTGGCGCACACACATCGAACAGAAATGGGTACTAACTGGAAGTATACACGTTGGGATCAAAGGGTTTGGAACCGTAAATAAGCTTGATAGGTGCGAAAAAATCTTTCTCAAAAGTAAACAATTTTCTGCCGTGCATCTGTAGAAGTAATAGTATCTTATCGCAGACGTAAGGTTGCATAATAGTATCTTATCCTTTTGGCGTCTTAATTTTTTGGAATCACTGTTAAACAGGTAATCTTAATCCGCTGTTCTTTAGCGTGTTTCAACTATATGAAAATATAGGTACCATTTCCTTACTCAACGCTAAAATTAAAGAAGCTAAATCAAAACGTTTTCAAAGTTCTAGCCATAAGACGATAAAAAGTTCGATGCACTCGACTGCCTTTTATTCATGGGAATCATTTGAGCAGTTAGTGTAAAGTCTCCGATACTGCAGGGTGTTAAGTGAGATTTTAGTTTTATGTGCGGTGAGGAAACTGGTATCGACAATTTTTTCATTTTAGTGTTTTTTTATGCGGTGAGAGAATAGTACTGAGGTCCTTAATTTAAAGAATAAATAAAAATGTTGGAGGGAAACCTGTGAGAATCACAACTCCTGCAGAAACGTCTTCTTTCGCTGTAGCACTGTAGATGGGCTGCGTGAACACCGGCGCGTTGTCATTAACATCCTTGACATAAATGTCCAGTGGTACCATGCTTTCTTTGCCATCTTCCCGTGCGATCACTAGAAAATGCAATACTTGTTGGACTAAGTGCCAGAAGCAAAACTAATCACCCGCTAGCAAGACGACAGATGGCCTCCCCTTTCGAAGGCTGCTTAGAAGCAAGCTAACAGCGAAGTTTGTCTGGGATGTCGAGGTTTTGCCCCACCCCATCCCCCCCCCTTTCCCACTGAAAAGGGGATTTAGTGTCAGTTTCAAATCAGCTATGGGTTTTTACCCTTTGTTTGTCAAATCCCTTACATCTATCTTTAACAATTCGCATGATTAGGAATATTTGTAGTGATGAGATTGTGAGGAACGAGAACGAATGTATTATAATAGCCGTCTAATTAATATATTCATGCGTAGACGCGTCAAATCCGTAGAATTTACGCCAATTATCTGAGCCCTTGTTACGCCGCAACATTGCAGCCTCGTTAATGAATTTCCATCCACTATTTTACCTTATTTAAATGAGGATAAAGCTTTAATATCGAAACTTAAAAATACGGGTTTTGTCCTCATTTGTGGGCGGTCCCTTAGAAAATTAATGTTATTTTCCAAAACACAACTTGTCGTAAATAGAGCTCACAAATGAGCTACTGATGAAAACTTGTAATTTCTTTAAACAAAATCAATTCTAAATTTATATTTTAAAATTGACTAGTATGGCACACTGGCAAGTTGAGCTATTCTTCCGCAGGAAGTAAAATGATCCGAACCGACAATGGAATAATTATTCACTTTGCAATTCGTTCATTCGTTTCAATGGTAAATAGGTACTGGATTACGCCATTGGCTCAAATCTGCCATAAGCTTCGAAAGATGGAATTGTCGATAGCCTTACTAACGGATAGTTACTGCTAGCATTTGCTACCACTATTTTGTGAATGCTTTCTGCTTTCATAGTGAGTGAATATGAAAACGGTTCTGAACTCTGAGATTCCAGAAATGCCATAGTATTTTGAAAGATAAAGTCACATTTTTTCGCTGTGTTTTAGTTTTAGGATTACTATTAAAGGGATTACTATCGCCAGAAAGGATTGCTATCATTTCAACGATTTTCCTCACAAAAGAATTTATTAAGGCTTTAGCTATCTCGAGATATTCCTGATGTGTGTGTTATCATCACCTATTCCTGGATCACGTTGAGATACCTCACTGGCGAAGAGGGACAAATTCGTATCTACCAAATATTACGTTATAAAACAGAATGCCTATGAATTTGAAACTTTAAAATTCATTGAAGCATTCTACAGAAAATTGAATTTTATGCATAATTCGGAAGCTGCTGCATTCAGTCGTCATCCAGAAACGGAAATTAAGCAAAGCTTAATGTCTGGGCTACTTTGATTAGAAATTTTAA